TGAAGGCATTGCTTTTGAGTATTGCCGTGCTAGCCGTGGAGGCTCGGGGAAGCCTTTGCGTTAGTGCCCAGGTAGCTTCCCGGGCAGAGGATGGATTCCGCAGAGGAACAGTAGAGGCACCAGATGTGCCGATGGAGAGCTCGGCTTCTACAGGGGAAGGAGCAGCAGAGGCACCGGATGTGCCTATGGAGAGCTCTGCACCTACGGGGGAAGATCTAGCAGAGGTCTTGGAGGTGCCCGTGGAGAGCTCGGCACCCACGAGGGAAGATTCACCAGAGCTCTCGGAGATTCCTATGGAGAATGCTGCTCAGACCTCGGAAGCAGCCGATGCCCTGGAAGTTTCGCCAGGAGCTTTGGTTGTAGACCTCCAGTGGGAGGCTCCTGGGGGGGGACCCACCGCTGAGTGGGGACTTGCCTTTTACTGGCCTGGCGAGTGCTTCTCAGATAGAGGTTACGCTGGGTCCGCTGTGGCGCCTGTCGGCGCGCCTACTGCAAGATCCGGCTACCCGAGAAGCAGGGCTTGTTTTGCGCCAGCGTTTCGCTTATTTTGCGAATTGCCCAGGGGCTGTGGAGACCTTGCTTCAACTCACTCCAGTATTGGGAGAAGAAGAGGATGGAGAGTTGGTTGCAGGGCCGCTGGCCGAAGTTTCTCCAGGAGAGAATCGCCTCGGGGAGATTGTGGAGTATATCCCCATGATTCGTGCCACTGTGGATGTTGGTACTCTCACGAACGACTTGATCGTTCAGCATGGAGAAGCTCAGGAGCGAGCATTGACGGGATTGTTTTTGCACGCGACTGGAATTACAGGTGCCGATGTGCGAGCCTGTGTTCAGAATGGGAACCTCAGTTTGTTTCGCCGGCCCTATTGGAGAGGCCGGGAGCTTCTCTTTCAACAGATTGGGGCATGGTTGTTTCGTTGCCTGAGCTCTTTCGAGACGCTGAGAAAGAGGGATCTCCAGTGGGAGGGCATCCTCCACTCCACCGAGATGCCCACGACGTTGGTGGCGCCAGACTGTGCAGCTGGCGAAAACCACTTTATCTTGGCAGAACTACTTCGAGTCTCAGGCCCGACTCCGCCGGGCCTCCGAGCTGCGGCGGGTCCCTGTTATTGTGCCAGACGACACGGATTTGGTAATCCCGACTGCCGGGACGCCCTCGGCTTGGGTCCCGGGATCTCAAGGGGTTCACAAAAGCCCTCCCCCAAAGCTCGCCCATCGATAGCTCTTCTCCAAGAGGCACAAGCCAAAGCTTCGGCCCTGATTCTCCTCAATCGTCAAGTACGAGAAGCCGAGCAAGCAGAAAGGGCGGCGCAGGAGCAAGAGGCTTTTCAGTGGGCGAACAGGGCGCCGCCACCGATGCCAGAGCCACCTACGCCAAGTTCGATTGGTTCTCCGGCGTCGGTGCCCCCGGCCCCGAGCACACCCATCGAGGCCTTCCGCCGCCGAATTGGAGTCCAGGGAGCATTCCGCCTCCACCGCCGTTTGGGCCACCGGGAGAAGGCGATCTTCGTCCTCCTCCACCGCCTCCGGAAGAGGCACCGGCCGACGAAAGGCCGGCCGCCGATTCGCCGGTGATTTCACCAATGACCCCTCCTCAAGCTGCAGAGGTCGAAGGCTCCGAAGTCGAGTCTCTTCATGGATGGTAGCTTGTTGGAGT